AGGATGTTGGGTTTTTGGGGGGGGCGGCAGAGGAGGTTTGGGGCTGTTTGGGAGCTGCCGGGGGGCACCCGGAGGGGGCAGGCGGTGGGAAGGGGCTGCCGAGAGAGGGAGCATGGCTTGGGGGTGGTGGTTCGGAGGGCCGCAGGGAGAGAGCCCGGGGCTGCTCGGTGTTTTGGGGTGCGCAGGCTCCTGGGGAGCCGTGGGAGGAACTCGGAGCTCCGTGTCGAGCCCGCAGCCCGGGTCCCCCCCTTCCGCTCTCCAGAGCCCGATTTTTGGGGTGGGGATGTTTTTTTCGCAGGGGTGCGGGGAAGTGGGGGGGAATTGCGTTTTGGGGTGAGCTCTGCGCTGGGAGGAACAATACCAAAAGTTGTCTGAAATGGTAATTTCCGTTTCCCATTTCATCATCCCCGGGTAGGCGTTAGCCCTGCGTGTGTGTGCGCAGGGCCGGGGCCGCACCGAGCCCAGCCGGCCCCAGCCCAGCGGCTTTCATTTATTTCCCAGTTTAATCTTTAAATCGCTCCGTGTTTCTGTCCTCCGAGGAGCCTTTGTGTGCCGGGGAGGGGCTGCTCGACACCTTTGCCCCTTAGCAGAAAGGAAGGGGAGGAGGGGGGGGAAAGAAAAAGCCTCCCAAGCCCAAACAGCTGCAGCCCAGGACGAGGCTCCCCCAGGCCGGGGATGGATTCATGTTTAGAAAGGCAAATGACCTCGGAGGGAGCCGGGATGAGCCGAGCCCTCGGTGCCCTCTGCCCTTTCCCAGAGGGAGCAGCTGTCCGGGGTGTGCGGCTCGGAACGGGCTCTTCATTGAGGCACAGGGGCCGTGTGTTTACGGCTTGGCTTCTGCTCCGGGCTTGGGGATCTGTTTTGATATCCAGTTGCAGGAAAGGGTTCCTCCCCCCTCCTGGTTTTGTACACAAAGTGCTCTCTCACCACTGGGGACACGGCTCTATAGGCAGAGAGTGAATTCCAGGCAGCTCTTGAAGCAAAATTCCCTGCTGAGATGGCTTCTGAAATGGGGTATACACACCATTTTTACCCTCTCTGTAGGCAAAGATCTTTAGGTGGAAACATCTGTACTGCCTTGCAGTGGTTGTGTGCTTTCCTGAAATATATATAAATTTAAGGAACTTGGAGTTTCTCCTTTCTTTGTTTTGTTCATAAAATGGAACATTTTTATATAATGACTCCAATTATTTCCTTT